ACAGACTGTGCCATCAAGATTCTACTGGGAGCCAAACTACCTGAACCAAAACTTTATGCCATGACCCCCTGGGACCTGGATGAACTGCACCAATTCATAGACAAAAACCTCAAGCGTGGTTTTATTGAACCTGCTAGGCCCAAGGTGGCCACCCCGGTACTGTTCCAGGAGAAAAAAGATGGCTCATTGTGTCTATGCATGGACTATAGAAATTTGAACGCTATTTGCAAGGAAAACCTGTATCCTCTGCCTCTGATGAAGGACATACTGGCACATTTGGCAAAGGGGAGGGTTTTTTCCAAATTATATTTAAGGAAAGTTTATTATTGGATCTGGATTTGGGAGGGGGATGACTGGAAAACACTGTTTAATTGCCTGTTGGGGTGTTTTCAGTTCAAGGTTTTGCCATTTGGGCTCCAAGGTGCTCCTGCCATTTTCATGCAGCTGATTAATGAAGTGTTGCATGACCACTTGTATAAGGGGATTTTGGTTTATCTTGATGACATATTGATTTACACGGAAACAAAGGCTGATCATGTTAAGTTAGTGCGGGAGGTCTTGAAAAAGCTAAGGGCAGCTAAGTTGTTTGTCAAACTTTCCAAGTCTGAATTTCACCAGGACAAAATAGATTACTTGAGATATCGAATCTCCCACCAAGGGGTGGAAATGGATCCCGCAGAGATCAGGGCTTGAGTGGGAAACCGCTCGCACCTGCAAGGAATTGCAAAGCTTCCTGGGTTTCACTAACTTCTATCGGCAATTCATCCACTCTTTTGCCCAGATAGCACTTCCGATTACTAATCTGTTAAAAACCAAAGGGGTAGATAAGCCGAAACCCAGCCAGCCACTAAAATGGTCTATGGAATGCCAAGTGGCATTTGAGAAACTGAAAAGACTTTTTTCAGCCGAACCAGTGTTAAAACACACAGAACTGGAGAAACTGTTTGTAATTCAAGCCGATGCCAGTGATGTGGCAGCCGGAGCGGTTCTACTCCAAGAAAATGAAGAAGGCAAACTGCAATCATGCACATAAAACTTTTAAAGTGTTAACTGAAACTGAACAAAGGTGGGCAATATGGGAGAAAGAGGCTTTTGCAGTCAGGTGGGCACTCCTGACTTGGAGACATTTCCTGGAGGGAAGCAAAATACTTGGTTCTGGAGCAATACCTGCGTTGTTTTATAAATTACCAACAGGACAACTGGACCAAACTACTGCCTTTTGCAGAAGTTGCTTATAACAATGCTGTACACACTAGCACAGGATTCACCCCTTTCAGAGTAGCCACAGGGTAAGAATTTAACACTATGCCAGAGTTGCCCTCACATGAACCAGAAATCCCCTCCTTGAAACAATGGATAAGTCACTTGCAAACCACCTGGCCTGTTGTCCGCAAAGCTCTAGATGAAACCAGAGCTGCCTATAAGGCACAAGCTGACAAGAAAAGAATAGAGCTTAAACCTTACAAGGTGGGTGACAAAGTTTACCTGTCCACCAGGTTTATAAAATCCTTGCAACCATCCAAAAAGTTAAGTCCTAGGTATATCAGCCCTTTCCCCATCATTCAAATTATTAAGCCAGTCACAGTGGAACTGCAACTACCTAAATCGTTATGGCAAGTCCACCCCACCTTCCACTGTAGTTTGCTGAAGACTGAAATCACCTTTGTACTTCGTCCCACTCCTTCCTCTTCTCCACAACCTATTATGGTTGAAAGTGAACAACATTTTGAAATTAAGGATATTTTGTACTCTTGTAAATTCCATGAGGCCACCGAGTACCTGGTGGCGCGGAAGCACCTCCCTTATTTGTAAAATGAATGGGTTGACAAGAAACATGTCAATGCTTCTAAATTGGTTCATTTGTTCCATCATTTGTACCCTGACAAACCTCACTGATTGTATGTTTTGTTGTTTCCCCCTCCCTGTTTCTATTCCCTTCAGGTGGACTTCCTGTTTTTCTAGGGGGGCAGCATGTCAGGTCACATAGATTCCTGTTGTGGCTTGGCAGGAGCCTTTGGAGCTGCTATCAGACTCTGACAGCGAGGGGCCCTATGAGTCAGGCCTGGAGGAGGCGGAGGGCCCTGGANATAGTATACATGTGAGTGTGTGTTATGAAAATAAAAATGGAAATAAAATATATTTTTTTAAAAAGGGGGAAAAAATGGAGTTGCGGGGTTTCTTTATTGGGTTTTGAGCGGAGGCAGGCCTGACACAGGCCATACAAAAATCACTGGCAGAGTAAATGCAAATCATTTCCCATTTCCCAAGACATGTAATATGAGGCCATGGGGAGGGGAAAATTGATGAGTTAAAAAACATTTATAGTGAATTCTTACGCTCATTCATTTTCAAATTGGCTGATCTTCCACAAAGTTTAAAGCGTTTTCTAAATATAAAAACAAGATATGTGGTATTTATAGAAGAGTGCTTTGATCATTTTCCTAAGCAAGCCCTATGTATTTATGGCTGACACTTTTCTATGCAACTTCATGACAAACCTACTAAAATGCATGATTTGTTTAATTTGGGCAAAAAGACTCATGTATTCAAGGTGTGTTATTAAGAAAACTGAAATGCTACTGGACTCTAAACCACATGATAGTTAAATTAGAGCCTCCTGTGATTTATCTGTATGAATTTATCTATTCAATGGAATAATGAGGCAGATTTCTTAGACTTAAGGACAAAAGAGTACAGCTGCTGTATTTTAAACAGGTCTAAGCTTTACTATGAAATAGACCAGAAAAACAAAATTTAGGTGGTATGCGCAGCCACTTTCTAGTTTTTTATTTCCCAAAGTGACATAATTATTAAGAGCTTGCACCAAGCACAAAATTTGGTTGACATTCTGATAAGCAATGCAGAAAAGAATCTTAATCTCCTCTGGGAAAACCAAAAAGGCTTATTTAAACATTCCAACTATGTAGCAGTATTCCAACTCCAAGGTAGCAGTATCTATTTAGGCAAAGGACTACTTTAGCCCCATCAAAGACAGAAATCTACTTCCATAAACAAAATACAAAAAATTGTGTATGCCTGCCTTCTGTTATCAGAGCTTACTGATTATTATTATGTGCTGCCACTCAGAAGTCTCTGCAGAACTTGTCAGAAATATGAAACAAGAGATGTTATTCCAATGCAAGCCCTGCTTCTGAGCTATGTGTCTATGATTATCATGGAGCTTGTACAAAAGTTGATACCTACTTGATACCTGCTGATATCTACTTGACTTTATTTGAAAAATCTAGAGATTGGTCTTCAGTTGCTCAGATCTAGCGTTAGTTGAGAAAAGCAGGATTTTCTACATGAGGAAATGCTTTTGAGCATATTTTTAAATGAATGTAAGAGCTGAGTTAAAAGTAGGTTGAATGCAATGTGAATTGGTTATTTTAGAAATGTTCATGTTAAAACTTGAGGAAACAGAATCAAAGATAAATTAATCCAAAAGTGAAAATCCGCTTTAAAAAAAGCATGCTGAGGAGGTTGGGTTAAACTAAAAGACTGAACTGCAGAATAACATAGGAGGAAGAGTGAAGGGATTGTGAGGAAGACGAGAACAGAAGAAGTAGTGGCTGAATGAAGATTCTGGAAAAAAAGGTAAGAACTTTAAAGAATAAAAAAATTATTCGTGATTTGGGGATCGATATGGTGGAAGAAAGAATGGTTTCAGATATAAGGAGGCATAGTTTATTTTATTCCCCAGTCCTTTTTTGTATTTTGCATTACTCTATTTATAAAGAAATGGGATGTATTGGCCAATTGGTTTTAGGCAGGTAAATGAAACTGCAGAGGAGGTAACTAAAAGACATGGGAGCATCAAGTATATTTGCCACTTTTAGTTTCTTTTTCTTTCTTTCTTTCTTTCTTTCTTTCTTTCTTTCTTTCTTTCTTTCTTTCTCTTTCTTCCTTTCTTCCTTCCTTCCTTCCTTCCTACCTACCTACCTACCTACCTACCTACCTACCTATCTACCTACCATTTCCTTTCTTCCTTTTGATCTTTCTTTCATTTCTCTCTCTCTCTCTCACTCTCACTCTCTCTCTCTCTCTCTCTCTCTCACACACACACACACACGGAGACAGACAGAGACAGAAACAGAGAGAAAATGAGAGATGGCATAAAATAATAATTAAAAGTACAATAACAACAAAAACAGAAAACAAAACATGGCAGGTTTTTTTTCTTTTTTAAAAGTTCATTCTTTCACTTTTAAGACCATACAAAAAAGCTTCAAAGGGTGCTTCATTCAAAACATTGCTGAAATCAAGCCTTCCTTCAAAGCTTATAATGCATAGAACTCTACATTAATCAGGAAAGACAAGAGGCTAGCATGCTGGTAGCAAAAATAGGGTTATGTGAGTTGGGGCTGATCTGCACAGTCATCTTGTCTCAATGTAAATATGGGTCAATAACTATTTCTCAAGGGCAGTACACAGAACATTGTCCTTGACTTGGCCCCAAATCACCAGAAAGTCAAGCTCTGCTTGGTGTTTTCTGATCTGTATTGGCTCATGCAGCACTCTCTGGTTCACGTCACTGAACAGAAACACCTTCATTTCAACTGGTTTCTGTTTAGTCTGGTAGGAATACCCTCCTCCCTTTGGTTAGTTCTCAATTACTTTTCACAATCATACAAGTTCACTGCTGTAACAGTAAAACATTCTCATGGGCTTAGACATTACAGTAACAGACATATTACATTAACAGACACTTACATTAACAGACACTTTCTACCATGCCAGCCATGAAAAATCAGTTTATGTGGAATGTGTCATAACATGTTCCTCTTTCAAGGTTCTATGATCATAATTTTAACAATCCTCCATTTTTGCAGTGAAGAAAATGAAAACACAATGTTTTGTTCTGAAGTTTAATGATCCTAGGGTATAAGATTTATTATTTGCAATTAATGGATGCTAAAGAGCCTAAAAGACCCAAAAGCACTTTTGGTCAAGGGTGTGGCTAATCCTCTTGCCTATGTTGTGTCTGACAGACAGCTTACCTTCCATAGCAGTACAGCCAATAACAGGAAGATGAGAATTCCCACCAGTAAACTGATAGCGATGATCCATCCAACCACATAACCACGAGCCTCCAGATTGTGCAAGGCCTCAAAGACCACCTACAGAGTAATTGGGGGGAATCATACAGTTAAACTTCAGTACTCCCCATATCAGATATTAGATCTTCTTGCAATAATTCTAAATGCAAGATAATAATGTCAAACTACAATTACAACTTTAGTTAGCAGACTACTTTCAAAATGATTTTTAAAAGCCTTCTATGAAATCAGAAGTACAACTAATATGTCATGCTTCATCCTTGATGATTCTATCCTGTTGTTTTCTAGAAGTAAACCTCCATTCAGTATCTGCAATTGTCAGGATACAACAATAAGGTGGAAATTGATTTAAATAGGTCTACTTTAAATTTAGCAAAGTTTGGAATTTCCCCCTAGTTCATCTTGCTTTGAAAACAGAAGAGGAAAGGAGATCAGTCTGTTACTTTAGCCTATGTCAGGGGAAAAAGATCTATGCCATTATAGGGGAAATTTAGTATAAATTAGAAATGAAGTTTTATCTATTCATTCATTCATTCATTCATTCATTCATTCAATTATGTAGCTACTCATCTCAGCAAACAAGTGACTCATACAACAAAGCTAAACAATCAAACAAATATCTAAAACTATTAACATGATTAATTATAAAAAATAAACCATAAAAATCAAACCTTTATTGTCAATGCACAATATCTGTACAATGAAATTGAATGAGCCTCCCTTGGTGCACCCCACTCCCCCAGAATCACAAAATCTCAATAACTCAATGAATAAAACAGCAGATGAAGAGTTGTTAATGATAACCGAGTCAATTCACAAGTTTTCTTGGCCCCTGGGTGTCCCAGACCTGCTGGTATAACCAAGTCTTAAGAGAGTTTTGGAAGATCAGACAATATGAGACCAATCTTACCTCAGGAGGCAGAAGATTTTACAGCATGGGGACCACAGCAAAAAAAGCCCACCATCCAGGGCACATCAAATGTAGCTTCCCAGTTGAGAGTACTCCTATCATGCATATACTAATACAGGGATGTCAAACTAAAGGCCCAGGGACTGGATCCGGCCCACGGGGTGCTTAGATCTGGCCTGCGGAACTGCCCTGGAAACAGCAGACTGGCCCACAATGCCTCTGCCAGAAAAAATGGAGTTCTGTTTTTGCTGGCAGAGGGTTGCAGGAGATGGTTGCAGCTGAAAATGGAGCTTTTGAGGGCTGCATGCAGCTCTCCTGAGCTCCATTTTCACTGGCAGAGGGTTACAGGATGCTGTCGCAGCTGAAAACAGAGCTTGGGAGCTCATTTTGCTGGCAGAGTGCTCGGGCCACTACAGGTGCCCCTGACACGAGTAACATCGAGTTGGCCACAGCCCCCCCCAGCCCCCCAAGGTCAAATACAACCCTGCACTAATAGATCTGGTGGAATGGCAGACCCTTGAGTAATCTAATGTCCTGACAGGCTTTAAAAGTCAACACCAGCCCCTTGAATTAGACTTGGAAACAAACTTGTAACCAGCACAGTTAGTGAAGCAGAGGTATAATATGTGTTCTACCAGAAACACACATAACTTCTCACAGCCCTACATTTTGCACCATCTGAAGTTTCTGGATAATCTTCAGTATCCTGAGGTGGAATGAATTTTAGTAATCTGACTAGGACCAAAGAATGAGTGACTATGAGTACATCCCTTCAATCTAGGAACAGGAACAGGTACTGGTACATAGTACAAAGTTGTGCGAAGATCCTATTTGTAATGACCTGCCTCAGCTACTCCTTCAGGAAACCATGACTCTTGAAACAATTAGTTATCAAAAGGAACTTTTTCAAAGAGAATGTGACAGAGAATTCAGGCGGAATCTGAAGTTCCCATGCATAGTGTTAAGCTATTCTTCTCAATTCAAACCCCACCCTCCTTCACCAGTCCACTGGTAGCCAATACAATTCCACCAGAGGTGGGTTGCTGCCAATTTGGCCTGGATCGGGTGAACCAATAGTTGCGGTGGTGGAAGGCTCCGTCCACCCACCTGGATGCTTCTGCACATGTGCAGAAGCATTGAGCACAAGCACAAACATGTGCACAAGTGAACCGGTAATAAAAATAATAGAAACTCACCACTGAATTCCAAATAGATGTTTTGAGAACTCAGAGACACTAGGTTGATAATGGTTCATCAGCCGAACACAGTGATCTTGGTGTCAGGCTAGAACTGGCTGGGAAGAAGCCTGTCTGTCTTCAAGAGAGCCTCCGTTCCTAAATCTTATGTGGTTACAGCAAAAGCGAATGCATGCAGAGAATCCAACCTCAATAGCTCCTCCCCCTCCTCCATCAGAATAGCAGCATCTCAGTAGGGGACCTGACACTACTAGCCATAACTGCCATCTATTCATTGAGTAGGTTTTGGGAATCCAGGAGAACCTCTAGATTGTACAGGAAAGTTGTCTGGGACAGCATAATCCCTTCCAGCCACCTTTAAAACTTTAGGGTCTCAAAACCCAAAACTATTTTGTCTTACAGTGTACAGGGTACAGTGAAGCCTGTTGCTCCCCATCCAGACCCCTACACCCTCCAGACATTGGGATAAAATACCAGAAGCATTGCTTAATTTGCCATGAATGGAAATGTATAATTGGATATCATCAGCATATACAGTGCATTAAGAAAGTATTCAGACTCTCTTCACTTTTGTCAATTTTTTATGCTACAGCCTGATTCTACAGTTGTTAAATCATTTTTTCCTCATTAATCTACATTCAGTATCCTATAATGACAAAGTGAAAACACAATTTTAGAAATGTCTGCTCATTTATTAAAAAGAAAAAAAACTGAAATATCACATATGAAATATTCAATTTATATTCAAATCCTATGCAACAACACTTGGATTTCCGCTCAGGTACCTCCCATTTCTCTTTATTGTTGCTGATAAATTTCTACACCGTAATTGGAGGCGTCTACACAGATATGAGTTTACCTGTGGTAAATTAAATTGATTGGACATGCTTTGGAAAAACACAACCTCTCTATAGAAGGTCTCACAGCTGACATTGCATACTGTAGCAGAGCAAAGGAAGTCCATGCATATGTCAGAGAGAGGATTATTGCACAGATCTGGAAAAGGCTACAATAAAATTTCTGCTGCACTGAAGGTTCCAAGAGCATAGTGCCCTCCATAATTCTCAAATGGAAGACGTTTGGCACAACAGCTGGTTGCCCAGTCAAACTAAGTAATTGGGGGAGAAGGACGTTAGTAAGAGATGACCAGTCTCTCTGACTGGAGCTCTCTAGATACTGTATGGAGATGGGACAGAGTTCCAGAAAGTCAACCATCATTGCAGCTCTCTGCTGATCTGGGGTTTATGACAGAGTTGCTAGACAGAAGACTCTCCTCAGTGCAAAACACATGAAAGCCCACATGGAGTTTGCAAAAAACCACCTGAAGGATTCTCAGACTGTGAGGAACAAGATTCTCTGGTCTGATGGAACCAAGATGGAACTGTTTGGTTTCAATTTAAACATTATGCCTCAAGGAAACCAGTTTCCGCTCATCACCTGCCCAATATCATACCATAGTGAAGCATGGTGATGGCAGCATCATGCTGTGGGGATGTTTTTCAGCAGGGACTGGGAGACTGGTCAGGATTAATGGAATGCTGAATGCAGCAAAATGCAGGGATATCCTCAGTGAAAACCTGTTCCACAGCACTCAGAACCTTAGACTAGGCAGAAGGTTCACTTTCCCACATGACACTGATCCTAAGCACACAGCCAAGGCAACACAGGAGTGGCTTAGGAACAACTCTATGAATGTCCAAGAATGACCCAGCAAAAGCCCTGACCTGAACTCTATTGAACATCTCTGGAGGGACCTAAAAATGGCTGTCCACTGACAGTTGCCATCCAATCTGACTGAGTTTGAGAGAATTTGCAAGGAAAAATGGCAAAAAATTCCCCAATCCAAGGTAAAAAGTTTGTTGCAACATACTAAAAAAGACTTGAAGCTGTAATTACTGCCAAAGGTGCTTCAAGAAAGTACTGAGTGAAGGGTCTAAATATTTATGCCAATGTTATATTTTAAGTTTATTCTTTTTAATAAATTTACAGACATTTCTAAAATTTTGTTTTCACTTTGTCATTATGGGGTACCGAGTATAGATTAATGAGAAAAAATGAATTTCAACAACTGTAGAATCAGGCTGAAGCATAAAAAAATTGACAAAGGTGAGGTGGGTCTGAATACTTTCTGAATGCACTGAAAATGATACTGCACCTAAAGGTAACAGATGAACTCTCCCAGCAGCCTCATGTAAATATTAAACAGAGAGAGCACTGATTCTTGTGGCAACCACACAGTAGGAGCTTCTTCCAACATGTTAAAAACAAGAAAAAAGTTAAGGAAACAATTGGTCCATTGCTGGGAGAAAGTGGCAAGA